GTTCTTTCAAGTCTCGTCGAGCAGGAACAAGCGTCGTCCGAGTGCTTTCTTGAGCAAAACCATGTAGCGCTTCGTGAGATCTTTGTGTGGTGTGTACTTTTTGAAGAAAAAAGTACTCCTATTTGGATGTAGCCCCCGAGCCTCTTGCTGTTTGGCACAAGGAGCTTGAGGGTCTTTTCTTGAAATCGTCCTGATTCTTCGTCGAGAGGCTCCCGAGCATATACCCGGGTCCTTTGTCGAAAAGAGCTCTGATTTGGCTATGTTCGGGTTCTTTTTGTCGAAAAGAGCTCGGATATAGCTATGTCCGGGTTCTTTTTATCTTGTGGCCTTGAAGTCGTCTGTCTTGAAGAAGTGTTCTGAGTGACGTGCGCTTTCCTTTTGCAGCCCCCGAGCATATATCCGGGTTGTTTTGTTTAGGAAGAACTCGGATGCAGGGTCTTGGCGTATTCTCTGGTAGTCTGTTGTTGTCAGATGTAGTTGTATGGTGATGGTTGAGTGTAAATGCCTTTTGTTCACGGGTTGTACTGTGTTGGTATATTCTTCTGAATATGCTCATCTTCGAGTACTGTTCCCTCTCGCCTAAGTCTTCCATTATTGAGCCCTGTCTTTTCACTGTGTCCTTTGTTAGGCTTGTTTCATTGGTACTCCTAGTCCATGTGCACCGCTCCTTCGATCTATAAATACCCTCCCGGAGTGCTTATTTTCATCCATTGAACATTCTGTTGAAACCTTCATAGTCATGAATATGATAGTTTGTGAAGTAGAGCAGCCCCCGGGCATGTTTTGTAGTTCTTGTGTGTCTTGTCGTAGCTGGAGGAAGTCTTGTGATAGGGATTAGAGGTAGGCTAATCCCGCAGCAGCAATGTACCAGGATGTACATGGTGGTAGTTGGAGGAAGTCTTGTGATGTGGGCTTCGTTCCTTCATCTGGCAGTTCTGGGTTGATCCTCGTCGCCTGTCCTAAGACTGTCCGGTGCAGATCAACACCATATCTAGCATCACATCGGTCTTGGGTAGACAGATGTCTGCTGGCCTTCTCTGCTCCATGTTGTCCCACCGTGCTGCTAATTTCCGCCTTGGATGCACTGCGTCCGTCCTTTGAAGAAAACAGTGTAGCCGAGGGTGGTTTGTCCTTCCGAGTAGCAATTTGGGACACGTAGTCATTCCAGAGCCTAGCCGTGTCCGGGTTCCTCTTTGCTACTTTGCTTTTCGTGGTACCGAGTTCGTTGGGTCTTGTAAGATTTGTAATCTTCTATTTTTGAAGTCGCTTGCAATGGAAAGAATCTTGTCTTCTGAGTTATCATTTATTTTTCTACTGTAGTCCTGGTTGTTCATGAGATTCCTGAGTTCTTTCCGTAAGAAGCGAGTTCTTATGTTCCTTGTGAGGTAGCCCTTCTTTTCTTCATGGTTGATGGGTTGTTTTTTGCAGTAATCTGATAACTCCACCGTAGTGCTGGATGGATAAGTCTGAAATCTGCCCGTTGAATTGTACCGTTGTGTGGATTTGTGCCCTCCGTCATTTTAGTTGTGTTAGCAAATGTACCGTTGCGTTCTCACACTGTGCTTTAACGGGCCTGGTGGGCCATTTTTATCGCTGTAAAATCTATTTAAAGACCCTTCATCTTCTTTTTCTTTACTGCTCTTCTCTTGCCTTGAAACCCTAGCTTTCAGAAATCTGCCGTCGCCATTGCCGCCACCATCTTAGCGTCACCGTCCAAGCCTTCTCTTCCCCTAGTTCCTTCTTGCCTCCGTTAGTACATGGGTAGGAAGAAGGCTGTGAGCAAGTCTCAGGCAACCTTCGTGGACAAGGAGTCGTCTCTTTCCGTGATCGAGAACCAGGAGTTTGTGGCCATGAGGGCTACCCAGAAAGCTTGGCTGGCTCCGACAACAACTAAAGACTAGCTCCACGAGCTTGCCAACGTTGGTCTGATCCAGAGCAAGGGCATTGCTGAATGGAGAGTTCCAGGCGAGCATCGGGTCCCTACTCCAGGTCCTGGTGACATTATCCTTTTCGTCTCTTTTATCTGTGCCGGTCTTTGCCTTCCTGCTTCCGCCTTCCTTCATCAATTTCTTGGTTACTTTGGGGTTAGTCTGAACCATCTAACTCCCAATGTCGTCCTCTATCTTTCTATTTTCATACATCTCTGTGAAGCTTTCCTTGGAATTTCTCCTTCTCTTTCTCTTTTCCGTCACTTCTTTCGTTTGAAGCCTCAACCCCGTCGTGAAGACACCAACGTTCTTGGCGGCTGTGGGATTCAGTTTCGCCAGGGTCTTAAAAGCAAGTGCTTTGACTATGACCTGGTTGATTCTGTGAGGGATTGGCGTGCTGATTGGTTCTATGCCGCCAATTTGATTCCTTCTCTAGTCGTACATTCTAGATCTGGTCCCTCTGTTAACGACCGATGGGAAAAGAACTCCTTGATGCTGACTGAGGTTCAGGCGATCCAGCCATTTCTCGATAGGATAAGTACTCTGAAACAATAGGGTTTGACCAGCTTTGGTATTGTCTCGAGCTTTCTTCGTTGCCGTGTTCAGCCTCTGAAGGAGCGAGAGAACCTTGGCTTCGAGTACTCTAGGGCTGAGGATCCTTCACGCATGGTCCCTGCCATTGAGTTGATCGACGAGGAGGTTCTTGAGTGTCTCCAGAAGATGCTAAAAGGAGCAAGCGTTGTCCCGCTTACTGTCTCCGAGTTCTCTGCCTATTCTATTCATGTGTGTTCTTCCACGGATGGCGTGCTGCGACGCATCGAGCCATGTCTGGTGGGATGAATTCCACCCGACATATGCTGTGAACCGAATCCTGGCATATAATGTGTGGTCCGGTGAGCACACCAAGATGTGCTATCCAGTGGACTTGCAGAGAGCCAATGGTAAAACTGAAGCAGTAGAGCCAATGGTAAAACTGAAGCAATAGAGCCAACCTGAATCTCCATTGCAGTTACTTGGTCAACTTCTAAATCAGCATAAAATGTCACCTGTGCGCTTGCTATCCCTTCCTGCTGTGAAGCCGAGCCGTCGCCGCAAGCCCGTGCCAAGAAGGTGAAGGCCCGCCGACGGAGCACTGAGATGCAGAAGGACCGCTGAGAAGGTGATGAGGACATCGCCATGCTGGACACACCGACGCCATGGTCTTCCCCAAGTTGCAATTCGTTCCCAACTCAGCTGCCACGTCGCCCTCGGATTCAGCAGACACGTCGTCACTGTTTCGGTCATAACTTTCTTATACGACATCAAAACGGGCCGTTCTTGGATGCGTTGGAAAGGGGACGACGACGCCGTCGTTTTGGATCTGGTCCCAGCTCCAGAAGGTCCGTGGATCATTCTGTGTGACCACGGCAAGGTGCTGCGTCACCTATTTGGGCCAACTTGGCCATGTATCGTGTCGGGCCTTAAGCCCAAGTTGTGGGCGCCCAACCCCTGGCCATCCCCAACCCTAGGTCGAGTCTTAGACTATAAACACAGTCATCGCCGCTGCTACACAATTGGGTTTTGTTTAGAGTTTAGTTTTCCATCGAGAAACTGAATCGTTCATTGTAACTGTGGTGACAAATCCTTTTACAGTGATCCAGGGCCCCCGTTCTTGATCTCTTCCACTGTGTCGATTAGTCCTTTAGAACCGAGTTCTAGAACCCTCTATTGATATTCGCGTCATTCATATTCGCAATATCAGATTACGTGTTTTACCTTCTTGCTTGTGCTCTTCGATTCGCTTGCAGGAAAAGCCTTCTTGGCGAGGTCAATCAAGTTGTGCTTGGTTGATAACAACGGAGCAGTGGTGTAACGGTTGCAGGGTTCGAATCGCGTCTGATTTGAAGCCGGATCGCCAACGTCGAGATCTCCACAAATCGAACTTACCGGCTACCTCTCAGAAGATCGGGCCTATACTCATCAGAAGGTCCTCGCTCGACGTCGTCGTTCACGCCCGCGCCGCCGTCCTTGCCCTGATCAGCAGAATAATCCTAAAGCTATACATATTTATACGGTGAGTATAACATACTTTGTTATTAGGTTTTGTAAGAGATTTTTCAAGACACGCTGTATTACTCATGTGACAGGCATTAATATTTACATATATACTCGAACCTGTGTACAGGATGGTACGGAGATGCGGCGCAACTTATTCGTAGATTTATTGGCGCATGAAAAAAATAGATATTGAGGATTCTTCCTACCGATATAAAACATTATCTTAGTCGCATCACGAAAATATTTATACAGTAGAGTTGGTGAGCCTGCGACGCCGCGCTCTCTGTGACGGTTTATTTCACGAACGTTGCTATTTGGATTAAATGTCACTTTAACGTCGGTATTTAATTTCACAATATTATTATCTTATTGTGCGATCCATGTATTTTTTAATATAAAATTTTTACTGTCCCGTAGTAACGCACGGACACGCTAGGTAGTAAGGTGCTTAAAAATTGGGCTGTTTGGAAAGATTCTGAAGCCGGATTGCAAAATCCAGTCAATCAAACGGGCCCTAAATAGGCAATATATGGTCTGTGCCTCTGCATGGCCATATCGCATCCGCGCTTTCCTCGCCCCTCTTACTGTGATCCTCAACCTAGGGCCAAACCTGCCGCCAGTCCCTAGCCAACTCGGAAGAGGCTACGAAGGCGAAGCAGATGCAACCCCTCTCCGGGACGACCCTAGGGTTCTGGCGACGTTATAAACCCAGCTTCGTTGGTTCTGCTCAAACTCTCTGGTGGTTTCCAGCTCTCGCGCAACGAGATTTTGCGGCAGCATCGACCATTCTAAATCAGCATCTGGAGCATGTTTTCAGGTCTGTTGTTGTCTCCTCTCCTTTCATACACGTGAGTCATCCTGTGTGCCATGTCATGAATTTTTCGATCCGGATTTTTCATGCTTTTGATTTAGGGTTTCCTTTATATATTCTTTCCGTAAGATTGGTATTTATCTGTTGATCTTTTCTCTTTAATTAATTAGAAAGTAACACGAAATAATTTTATTGCCAACTACGTCAAAACCTATAAACGGAAGATGGACTTAGATTTCGTGTGGTTACTAATATCAATTTTATATATGTTCGAATCAGAACAGAATTTGAAAGTAATTTCAATTTTAGTTTAATTATCATTTAGGATACCTGTTTTAGATCTGATGGGTGATATAGTGCTCGTGTTTGAGGCTGGATTCTAAAGCCTTTCATGTTCTTTCGTGTTAGATTGTCTTTGTATGGACCGCAGAGCATTGGAGTGAAAATTGAGAACCTGAGTAAGCGGTGCTACACAACCTTGAAGGTCAAACCTAGCTATTACATGGAAGAATCGAAGATAGCTATAAAGGATGCTACACAGAGAAATATGGTGGGCACAGGTACTGAGGATGGTACAGAGAGCCCTCCGATCAGGGCAACCATTAAGGATGTTATAAAGAGAAATAACACTTATATTGATGGTATATGGCCTGCAACAATCTATGGGAACAGTAGCCACCGTGATGGCACTATATACAAGAAAAGGTTTTACTGGAAAAATGAATATAGTATTGATGTCACTGACCGTGATGAGAGTAAGTGATTCAAATATCTTTTTCCTATTTTTATTTATTTTGTTGCTAGGGCATTTGGCAAGATTTTGTGATTAATTAGTGTATTTTCTACAAATCTTGAGTTTAACTTTGCATTGTTTTCATTATCTCGACTATATATTATTAAAAAGAATATTGTTTTGTCCCTCTCTATGCATTGTGCTTTTGACATATGAGTCCTTCCATTATGTGATCTCTACAAGCAGAGGTTTCATGTGATACAGAAGTGTGTCCTGTATGTAGTTCAGCTACAACATGCTGAAGTTGGCAAAAAGGAGAAGGGAAAGGAGAATGGCCAAATAAAAGGGAATGTGTGGAGGATGAATCAAATCAAAATTCAAAATTCATGAGAGTTGAATCAACCTGGCTACGGTGCATGGAGAAGCCGGAGCCAGTGGAGCCAAAAATAGTGGCTTTGCCAGCTCCTGGTTTATTTTGAGAAGAGAGATAAAAGGGATCCTTCCTAATATTGCATGGAGGAGTTGGAGCCGGAGTCGGCTAGAGCCCTACCAAATGGGGCCTGAAATAAGAAATGCAAAAGAATTAAGGCATACTGAAGAAACAAGAGACATCTTGAGAGGGAAAAAGCAAGCTGGACAAAGCTGGTGGTGTATTAGTGTAGTTGCTGACGGTGGATCCATGAATGGTGTAGTCATCCACGCTAAGACCTAGACTTGACTCTTGCCAGCTCCACCATGTGGATTTAGGAGATGAAACACCCTTGCACCCTTGGCATCATGTCATTGCCTTAGGTGGTGCTTGAATTGTCTTGCAGTGAGTGGAGTGGGGCCATGGGGTTGTTGGGTGTCGACTAATTGCGACAGTTAGAGGGGTTGAGGGAAATAGGGTTAGGGTTTTGGTCAGGGAGGGGGCAAAGAGTTTATATACAGACGTGGGGTTTGGGCTGTTTGCTGTTGAGCTTGATTCTTCATTATTGACTGCTTTTAGGCATAGTTATCAGGACAGGGCTTTTAGGCATAGTTATCAGGACAGAGCCTTGGCTGGTCCATTCTAGATAAAAGATAGGTCATGCGTTTGAACTGGAAAAAACCGGTTTAACTGTTGGTTTTTTCACAAGAACCACCCACTAGAATATTGACGTGAGCTGGGAGCCACGCATGTGAGGTGGGAGGGAGGAGAAAATAGAGAGAAAAAGAGTTGGGCGTGGTGGATGGGGTTTTTGAGCCTATGACCTCCAAGTTGGAAGGCTGCAACTCCACCACTGGAGCATGCTGTTGGTTGTGATGTAGTTATGTATCTCAGCCTAATTAAATTGGATTGAGTAGGTGGTTCAACCGAACTAAGGGGTTGAGCGGTTCAATCTCTAGTGCGGTCCTAATAACTAAACTTTTAGGTCCTGTGGTTAGGGCTTGTCAATCGGTTTTAACCGATAGTTCGGTTTGTTTGGTTGGTGCTAGAAAACTTCGGTTTGGGAAACCTATCATTTTAGCAAAAACAGAGGAACCGAGTACTTTGGTGTCGGTTTCTTTGGTTCGGTGTTTGGTTTCCACTGAAGTTCAGCGACGATTCAGAGTCGCCATACCTAGGTGAGCCTCGCCGTTATGGTTGGCCCTAGCCATTACTGCTGATGTCTATCCAATCCCACGGCTACATGGTGGTGGCATGCTGATGGGCATCAAGCCAAGGCATTGTCATTGGCATCCTCCTGGCATACACAAGGAATAAAGAGTTTGGGAGCTGTAAGTAATAATCTGCTTATACCTTTCTCAGTGAAATAACAACTCCCCTGACCTTAAATTCATATTCAGGGGGCCCCTAACTGATTTCTTCTAGGCCAAATAAACGCGCTAGCTTAACTGACAAGGAAACCTAATGATATTTAACTGTTGGAGCTTTCAACTTGAAGTGGAAAGGTGGCGTATGGACTATGGAGACCTTAGACATAGCCAGCCATACTTCCCACCTTGGTCCTGTGCCAGTAGCCCTCTCTGTCGCTGCTGCCATGGCTGTTGGGCTGCCAGTCCCATTGGTCTCACCTAACCCACCAGAACTCATCCATAGAACCTAATTTGTGGGGCAAAGATAGTTTACTTCATATTTTCATTTATCTACTGTAATAACTAATTATTATAACATTATTTGTTATCTTTGGTGAAGCTCGGGTGGAGCCAATGAGGTATGCAGCGGCCACAAACTGCCTTCCCGATCCGGACAGTTGCTACGGCCATATGCAATATGAAATGATGCAGATTTTCTCACTGAAGTTGGCTAAAGCTTCCATAAACAGTGGGTTGATACAGTTGTATGGATACATTGCAGCACGAGATTATCTTGATTCAAAGCTTAATTATGTTTTCAATCGAAGCAGAGGTGATCCTATCACCGTGCAGCAGGTACACATCTATACTTGTTTGCAATAGTTGTGAAGTACATGCTTATATAGCTATATAAGAGAGGAGTTTGAAACCAGCATACTTCTGATGGCATGCTACAACCAGTTAATCTCTTCTAAATTATAGAGAATGGATGCTGATACAGGTCCCCTCTATTTTGGTCTACTGGAGTTGTTACTTAAAATATACACACGAAGTCTTAATTTACTGTTTTGTGTCAGATAGTTTATGTTACATGAATGTTTGCCTATTTATATGAAATTATGTAGAAAACCTTGCAGCCGTGGGACAAGAATCTCAATACCTTTACGATGCTGCAAAATGGTATCAAAATTTACTGCATATCTTGCACAAGTGTTACAGGGACTACGTGTCCAAAATTCTTTTGCCAAGTCGACACGCATAACGTGGTGCAACACACCAAACTCATGCTGGGAGTCCAAGTGGCTAACTAGGGTTAAGAGATTAAACAGAGTAGGCTGCTAGCATTAGAAAGGCAGATGGTGATTGGCGGCATGGAAGAAGCTGCATTCGTTAAGAACATTGGGGGAGGAGAAAGATTGGTGGCAGCCTCCCCTCCTGCTGAATGCGTAAGCATCATGTCCTCTATTTTGGCTTGATGGCCAGTAATCAGCACATGGAAACCATCATGTTCTCTCTATTTTCTTTCATTTCTTTCATCTTGTGCTGGATCTACATTCAGTGACAGTATTTCAATAGACTAGCTGTTGTAGAGCTCATTAGCTGGCTGCTCTGTGCCAACAAGCTTATGTTTTTAATTTTAAAATTAAAAATAATATACATTAGATGAATCCCTGAATCATTCTAGAGTCTGCTGATTTGAAGACCAGCACCCTAATCTGACAACATCCACCCTTGTGCCCGAGTAGCCATGTACCAGTGACCAAATTTGATGGGTACTGTTTTATTCTCTGTGGCCCAATATCCATAATTTCCTATGGTTGCTAAAATTGAAGATCCACTACCTTTGCAAGATCCCTGATTTAAAGAAAACGTCTAGGATTATGGTGCTGCACGTTTAGAACCTCTACAATTCACATCTTGAAAAAGGTTACAGTCTGTGTTGCCTACTGCAATTTGCTTGGGACAACTGCTTTGTTATTATTTTTCAATGGTGCCATGGTGGCTTGTGATGCGCAATGTTTTTAAGGCGGTAAAGCGAGGCGAGGCGAGGCGACCAACTACCGCCTTACACTAAAGTAAGTAAGGCGTAAGGCGAGGCGACGCCTTACGGCCATCCAACAGTAGTATAGACTATAGAACTGGAAGCATGTCATACCTTGATGTTGTCTTCTCCTGTGCAGCCCGCAGTCACAAGTGTGCATCCAACAACACACTGCAATGGAGAGCCAATTCATGTTAGTAGGTATTTCATAGGGAATATGGCACCGGCAAAAATAGAAATTAGTTGAGGGATAGGTAAAGATTAACGAGTAGATAAGCACACTGCCACAAATAAAACCATTACACAAGTAGTTCAACAGATAGTCCACTAAATAAGATAAACTGGAGTGCTCAGTGAGCAGATTCCACAATACTACAATACTAGTGCATAAATAGTCTGGCACAAATACTCTCACAACTCTCAAGCATCATTAAGTCAATAGAAGTCATCCTCCATCACAAAAGGATCTGAATTGTCACCACCACCAGCAGCTTGATCACTTTCGTTAGCAACAATAGGTGCAATTTCACAATAGTCATCAACTTCCACATCAACCAGATATTCTTCATCAGAGTTATTATCTTCCATGTCTTCATCTTCCTGTGGTTCATCAGTCCTAATTGGGGCAGTAGCTGCTATGGACCGCCTACGAGTATAAGTTCTATCAATATTAGTTGCATCGCCGTGGGTTGCCCTAGGGAAATTACGACCACGATACATTTGGGATGCACCAACAGCCTCATCAACTTGATCCCATGTAATTTCAAGTCCACGGCCATTATGGACTGGTTCAGCATCCACATCAACCCATTCATTGTTCCAATAAAAGTCTTCCAAACCCAAAGGATCAAAGCTGCCTGCTCCTTTCTCATATCGCTTTTGAAACCTCACTGCCATCTTTCGGTTGTACTGAACATAGACCAAATCATTAAGCCTTTTATACTCTAACCTGTTTCTTTTCTTAGTATGAATCTGCAATGGTAAAAATGCAAAAAAAAAAGAAATATTCAGCAAGCATTAATAGATAGTAGATTTTATTTATTCCTTGAACTGGGCTAATTGAGTACTTATGTAATTGACAGATTACTTACAGACTCAAATGTGCTCCAACAACGCTCACAACCTGAAGCCGAAGCACAAAGCCCAACAACACGTTTTGCAAATCTTTGGAGCTCTATGGCTTTGCCACCATATGAACGCCACCATTCAACTAGATCAAGTGACCAAAGAAACATTTTCATGTTAGAATTAGGAAAGACTAAAAAATTCTGATTGTATAGTCAGTGAATAACTTACTAGGAGACTTGGTTTTGATGTTGTTGATTGCAATTTTGTTGCTGAAGCTACCCCTTGAGTCCTCATATTCCAAAGCTTGGTCATCAATCTTGTTTTGAAGATCTTAGTCAGGCACCATTTTTGCAAGAACCTCAGTAAATGCAGACCTTAGCTTACCAGCCATAACATCATCTGTTTTCAGGTCAAAATACTTGTTTGGGTTCAAATATAGTGCTGCCCCATATAGTGGTTGGTCCATATGATCTTCCCAACGCTTGTCAATGATTGCCAAGATACGCTTAAGCAAGTCTGCCTTTCCCCTAGCAGGGAAATTCTATTTAACCTTTTTCTTTGCATATTCCATACAAAATTGAACCTCTGGCATTGCTGGCCTCTCATCCCCATCAACTATCCTCAACAAAACAATAAGGGGCTGTGATGCTCTCAGACAGTCCTCAACTGAGTTCCAAAATTCGGTTAAAAGGATGGTGTCATGCACTTTCTTTCCTGCTTCTGTTTTTGCCAATTTGGACTTAGTCCAGTCATCACTTACAAATAGGAATTTCATAGCATCCCTATGAGTGTGTAGGCTGCGCAAAGTGAGGAAAGCAGTAGCAAAACGAGTTACTCCTGGTCTAACAAGATCTCTACCTCCTGTCTTCTCCCTCATTGCATCAAGAAGCCTCCTGTGCCTACAAATAAAGGTAGTAACTTGTCTTGCACGTGCAATAGGCTTGCTAAACTCCTTCATTTGCCAATGTCCTCTAGCATAAGGTCCAAGCAGTGTGCAGCACATGGGGTCCAAAACAGTGTTGGAATTCTTTCCATAAGAAGCTTGCAAGCTGCCTTATAGTTAGCACCGTTGTCATTGACCACTTGAACAACCTTGTCTCTTCCAATGAGATCAATTCTCTGCTGTAGTAAATCTGCCAACATTGGTGCATCATGTACTTCACTTGATGCATAAATAGACTCCAAGAAGAAAGTCCCCTCTGGACTATTGACTAGGAAATTAATGAGGTGACGGCCCCTCCTATCTGTCCACCCATCTGACATGAGTGTACAGCCATATTGCTTCCAAGCAGCCTCATGCTTCTCCTTTATTTTGTTGACCTGTTCCACAGCCTTTCCAAGCAATGGCTCCCTCACCTCATGGTAGCTAGGAGGTTAATATCCAGGTCCATACTGTCCAATGGCCTCACACATAATCTCAAGGCTCCTTGAGTTGATAGCATTGAGTGGTATTCTACACTCAGAAGAAATTGGCCACATGCATATTGACTTCATCTCTTTCTTCCTTGGTCCTGATCCTTCCCTCCACACTGCTTTGTGCAGGTCCATTCTTAGAATGCCTTTCCTCAACCACTTCTTCAGGTTTTTTCCGAAGCATGGTAATCACTGACTTCTTCTCTTTTGGTCTAGGTGGTACAGATGCAAATTTGAGAGTAGATTGCTTCCTTTTGGATGCTGTCCCTGAACTTGGATGTTGCACAGTTGTACCAGATGACTGAGAGGAAGCATTAACATTGTTTTGAATCTCCACCACTTGAACACCATCATCATCATCTAGGTTTAGCGCTCTCCTTCGTCTTCCCATAACTAGTGCTGCATCCATTTCAGCAGCAATTGCTGTTGTTGTCTTCTCACATTTGAGAGCATCTCCATATCCACCTACAAGATGCTCCTTCAATCTCTTGATTCCAGACTTTACTCTCGTTCCACAAAGGATACACTCAACCAAATCTCTATTGCCAATTTCTGGCCAGAAGCCATACTTCCACTTAGGATCACTAGACTTGGCCTTCCTTTTTTGGATCTGTCCTTGGATCATATTCAGGAGTACCTGAGCCTACACTTTGTGGACTTACAGTGTCTTGTGTTGCCATTTAGATGGACTCCTGTGAAACATGACAAGCAAAGTAATTATTAATTAACACCGAGTACTAACGGACAACTAGACAATGGACACAAATAGTTAAATAGGGCTCTGGTTGGAATATAAAAAACAAATTGCTGTCCAGAAGAGGCTAAGCACTAAGCACCAAGCAAAGCAAATATAAACAAATCGGCATGCTGCTGTCCTACTCGAGAGAAGACATAAGAGGCTAGAGGGCAGAGGCAAGTAGAAAAATACAGAGCAGAGTAATTACCTGGCGAGCGAAGACTTGAGGAGGGCGGCTCGGGTCCTGCTCGAGGGAAGACTGGAGAAGGCGGCTCGTGTCCTGCTCGATGGAGGACCAGAGGAGGCGGTGGGGAAATAGCAGCCCGCCGGTGGCTGCTCCTCGCGCGGATGGGGAAGAGGGGAGGCGGAGGCGGAGCGGCTCGTGTCCTGCTCGATGGTGGACCAGAGGAGGCGGCAGGGAAACAGCAGCCCGCCGGCGGCTGCTCCTCGCGCGGATGGGGAAGAGGGGAGGGGGAGGCGGAGGCTTGCTGGCAGCAGCTTCTCATGGCGGCGCGGACGAACGCGTTCGCGTGGGCGAGCAGGTAGGTCCGTCTTCCCCGCGAGCGCTCCTCTCTCTGCTCTCTGATTTCTCCCGCGCTCCTCTCTCTGCTCCTATATGTATAAAAAACTTTTAACACTCCCAAATATAGTAATAAACATGGAACAGAGTAGTTACATAGTCTTTCTAAACCAGGAAAGGCCAGTTTATCAACATAGCCAATAAACATGGGATATGCGAATATGCGATGATTTTTACAATCATGTTACTCTTTGCAAGGCTAGAGAATCTGCATAGAATGCGTGCCAAACTCCTGAAGCAACCTCTCTCTTATAGAGAAGCTTATCATTTCACTAAAATATTCCTGCATGCATTGTTTTCATTACCCAAATAGGAAGGATTCCTGTGTTCACAAGGACTGGATTTTCCATACACTGATCACACACTCTGATCAGAAATCTAGTAGCTAGTACTATCCATTAGCTTTGATGAGCACCCAAAATCCTGGATTCTGTATTGTATTTTTCACTGATAGACTAAGTGTCCATAGCTGTTTGCGATGTTTGAAGTATGCTTTAGCTGCTGTCACCTGTGATGACAAAGGGTAAAAATACAAGAAATATGGTATGAAGGCAACTTTTACCTTTGTTGAGTTAAATGCACCAGCAGCCCCTAAACTTGTATGTGTGTGCCACTTAGGTCCATTAACTTTCAAATTGCATTTTTGAGCCACTTATGTTATTTACTGGTGCAGCCTAGGTCCATTCCCCCTCAGGAGCCTTGGAAATACGCACTTAGCCCACCGCGATCCTCTCTCTCAAATCTTCTCTCCCCTACTCGCCTGCTCCTCCAGGCTCCCCCTCTCCTTCCTCCTTGACGGCGCCGGCCCCCTTCTCCCCGGTGCTCCCCACCCCTAGCCACAGATGCTCCTGCACTTCCTCTTCCCGGCACCCTCACCCTTCCCGATGTCATCCTCGGCAGGGTGCCGAGTGGCAGCAGCAGCATGGGCTGGGCGGGCACTGGCCATGGCCTCTGGCCGTGCTGGCAGCTGAGCCCTTGTCACCTAGATGGGCTGGCAGCAGCTGGCCATGTGCTGCCCCTGGACAGGCTGGTCGTACACCGCCCTAGGCCAGGTTGATTGCTGGTGGGCCGCTCTAGCCGTGTGCGCCCCTGGGCCAGGCTTGCCATGGGCCGCTGGCTGAGCCGTATTGTCGCCGACGTTGTCCATGTACTCAGCACAGTCACCGCCTTGTGCACTCGTTGCCGAGCTATGTTCTTCTGTAAAATGCAATGCTGCAATCATGGCCTAGTGCACCACAATTTCCACACTACATCCTCTGTATTATTTTGCACAGGACAATGTATCATGAAAATTATGGTAGTTATAAAGCTTTTTTTCTCGGACACGCAGGAGAGCTGCGTATCATTATATTAAGCATTAAAAAGGAGTAAGAATCCTTACAACACCACACACCTCCAACACACTTAGGTCCCTAAAACAATGTGTGCCACACAAACACATAGATCGACCACAAACTAACACCGACAAATTAACCTTCAGGAGGCGCTAGGGCAAGGAGGTAATACTTCGTTCCCCGGCCAAATCCCAAAAGTGTAACTCCTCTACCTGTAGCACCAGCGCACGAGGAACACTAGGAGAAGCACCATCAATGACATGCTTATTGTGGTGGTTGCACAAAGTCCAGGCGCCCAAGATCACGAGGGAATTGAGCCCTTCCACAAAACATCAGCAACCTCCTTGTAAATCCTATCCCACCAGCCACCAAAGGATTCCTTATTTTTCTGCAGACAGAGATGCTGTAACCCAACATTTTGCAGAAGAGAGAGCCAGAATTCCCGAGCAAAGATGCAAGACAGCAGCATGTGGTTAATGTTTTCCGCTACTTGATCACAATGTGGGTGGTTTGGAGGATGAGGGAGGCCATGCCTTGCAAGCTGATCCGCTGTCCAACCTGTCCCTAGCGACTAACCACATAAAGAAACGGCACTTCCCAGGTGCCCACAACTACCATATTCTTTCCCAAGGACTGAAGGTGATCATCTCCTGAAGTGCGTCATAAGCTGATTTAGCTGAATAATTACCATCACCAGAGAAGCGCTTAGGCATGGAGTCTTCCACCCCTGGCTGCAGCGACACACTTGAGATGGCGTCCCAGAGGCTAAGAACCTCAGAAATAACCCCCACCGTTAGTGCCCCTTGAATGTGCCAAGATTGGTCATTGAGAGCTTTAAGTACTGTCCTATTGACTCTTTGTTTGGGCACCAGCTCAAACACTTGAGGTGCAATGTCTTCCACTCGCTGACCATCAATCCATCTATCAGCCCAAGAAAGAGTCCCTGCACGATTTCCAACATGAGAGATAATTGCAATAGAGAAGAAACCTGATTATTTTTATGAACATGAATCTGAAAAACACCCCAAGGACGTGTAGGATCCATCTTTTGAAGCCACAACCACCTTGACCTAAGAGCCCAGCTGAGTCTGCAGATTGGAGATACCAAGCCCTCCAAGCTGTGTAGGGAGGCACACCTTCGGCGCCACTAAGCAATGGCCGCCTTTTGCATCCTTTCTTCCTCGCCATTGGAAACTTCTAATTTTGTCAATAGCCTTGATAGCCCATTGAGGGAGATCGATAGCCATGGCAAGATAAACTATCATGGAAGTGAGCACATGTTGGCTATGAAGTTTTTCTGCTTCCAAACGAGCATGGAGGAGGAAAAGCGCTGTATTAGCATCGCTGGTTGGCCATGACACACCCTTTGCTGTTCTGGCACAGCACAGACCAAATGGCAGGTTAGGATGTCTAACAGCCCACTTGATGGACATTAGGGACTTGCACACACAGAGTCCCGGGACCTATCTGATTCAGATGTGCTAGACTGCTAGTGCAAGGATGCGTCGTGCACATTACTCTTCTGCAAATATAATTGGGCAAGATATTTTTGGACCCTTGCTATTTTATAATAACTTGGTAAAAATAGGTGGGGGTCTTGGAAAGCGAATCTCTAGGCAGCCTTGCCCTTCTTAGTTTGCAAAAGGATGCTGGTTCGAACCTAGCATTTCACAAGTGGAACTCTACCAACGCACTGTCCAGTGTCCTTATGATAATTTAGTACTACAATTTTTTTTCTCGTATCCATGCATAAATAGCATGAATAATCCCCTCACAAGTCACAACATTCATCTTAGCATTTTAGGTACATTGGAGAATATCGTTTTATCTTATTTATATTATTGAAATTGGAATTTAAATTTTGCTCCTGCAAAGTTTGAGTTTTTGCTCCACCATTCTGATCAGAGAATGAGCCATTATCTTAGTTCTGGTAGTTATTTAGTTGGTTAGTATTGGTATTAGGTTAGTTAAAGAGTCGTAATTGGCTGTCTATTTGCACATCTTGTATAAAGGTGGACTAGTGATAGTCTTCGCATGGAGTATCAAATCAATATATTAAAGAAAAGGGCTTTGCCCACATCTGTTAGATCAACCCTATTGTTGACAGGAGAAGCCCTTGATCAATATGACCAGAGCCTCTTGTTGCACATTTGAATCTATCTTGTCTCCTGTGTTGCCCTCTATATAATAGCCAGTAGCTTACCTGAGTTGATTTCATGGATTTAGTTTTGCAAATGCATGAGAATAAGAGGTTTTATACCAATCTAGGTCATATATGGCTATGTTATGCATGTGACTGGTGCCATAGTTCTATATGGTTGTTGATATGTTCAAATTTAGTATGTGGGGGATATGTTATGCATGTGACGGGTGCAATAATTCTATATGGTGGTTGTGTTTAAATTTCGTATGTGGTACGCAAATATGTTGTTAGTTAACTTGCATATTGTATTTTGTACTGTTACTATGTTTTGCTTCACAAACAATTTGAGTTTTAGATATATAAATAACTTGTGTTAATAGAACACTAAAATTATTTTGCTTTTTAAAGTTGAAATTCAGTGCCATTATTTTAGATCTGGTGGCACCATTGATGTTGGAATCTCAGTTTTGATGTATGATTTTACAGCTTTATGACATAGATAGGCCTTGGCTCTATGATTTTAGTCCATAGAATCTAAATTTATATGATTTTAATGGTTCTTATTCCTATGATTGCAATTTTAATGAAAATACATCCAATCTGATGTAGAATTAGGGGTTGTTGCAACTTTGGTTGGTAGATGCTAAAAAGGAAGATATTTAGCATTTTGTATTTCTTCTTTTGATGGGAAGAGTTAATAATATGTCATTAATTTTACAGGGTTCCCTCATCGAAATGACTGGCCCTAAGAGAGGCATCGTACTGAATTGTGATGTTCTTTTTGAGTTTGATATGAGAATCAAGAATGGGGAGCAAGAGGAAAATGATCTCCAGCTAATTGACGGAATAACAGAGTTTTATGAAATGAGCATGCCGGGTAAACCATTCACTATTCGCATTAATGGCGATGCTGGCGCGGTGGACATGTCTTTAACAAATGTTTATGGAGTTGAGGCTACAGTAGAAATCTTCATATCCGAAGTGGAAAATGGTTTTGATTTATCTATTTGCTGTGTTGTTTCGGTACTGGAGGAACATAAAGAATTTCAGCTTTTTGGTGCTCCTATTGGTGAATCGTGTGGCTTAAGAAGGTTTGTGATTGCTGTCTCCTTGGATACTATGATGCATTTGAAGTTCAAGGTACACCAACATGGCTCAAATGTTGTTGAACATTGCTGTTCCTTTGAAGCTAAGCTGCATGGATGTGCCAGCCATGACATAAAGCTTGAGGTCGCTTGTTTCTCAGTGAAGGTGACTTGGTCGAAGTTAATGGAAGATTTGTAGTATTTTTAGTTTTAAGCGGTATTATGTTCTCTTGCACTGGATGGATGTGTGTGATCACATAATGCTTTTGTACTGGATTTACATTTGCCTTAACCTACCTTATATGAGCCTAGCTCAGTTGGTTTCCTTGTGATAGAACCTGCCTATTCATGGTATGGGTGTTTGTATTTTTCTGGATTTATTCTATGATTTAATGGTGTTGTGCTTCAAGTGGTAGACGACGTTTCCGTTGACAGTGAGCCATCTGTGGTGATTTCGCTAATCTTGAGATGTGTCGGCATAGCCTTTTGGAGGTGTTCATATGGGTCGAGTATGTGTGTTCATAGGGTGTGAGTGTGCGTGTGTGTTGAGCATATTTGTTTAAATTCGAAAAAAAAAAGCACCAGCTATTGATTTGGGTGACATGTTAATCCAACTTTTTCTTCAATAGCTACTGAAAACACACAGAACATACATCCGTAGATATAGACCTCACCTCATATCAGGACGAGAACGTACACTTATTGAACGTACTCTCAGAGCAGTCTGAGTCGTACGGAAATAGTCGAATTTATATGAGAGAGAGTACTGTAGAGGACCTGGTTCTGAATAATAAAATAAAGAGAGAAGTACTGTAGTGCTGACTGCTGAGTCATACGGAAATATTTTTATCATAGAAATAGTCGAACTTAAGAGCAGTACTGTACAGGACCTGGTTCTGAACAAAAGAGTGTTTGTGTGATGACTCAAATTAGCTGCAGTGGTTTTTTTTACTATATTGATTGATTTTGAGTTTTTGATTAACCGGACGCTCCGTTGTGCGGGCTGGCCGAACAACGTAGAGCATAATAAACAGTAAAAAAACATATGAGCAGCGTCCAGGAAAAAAAATTTGTGGACAGCAGCAATAGACGGTCTCTGTTTTATTCTCGGGTATGGAATGTGGTCTTTGTTTCTCTTTTATTCTCGTTTTTTTTGACAACATGTTTTATTCTCAGTTGAGGAATGTGGCCCTTACTTCTTTACACGCGAATATGGAGTGCTGGATTTCTATGATTAGAAGGCATTTTTTTTAGGAAAATGAGTGGGGATAATCCTCACGAGGCCGTTGTGGCTGGGTACCTAATGTTTGAGACAGCTCATGTATAAAAATGCAACCACATGAATCTAACTCTTTTGTCCTAAAAATTAAAAATTTAATGTTTTAGTTTTGTTCTAAGTCAAACTGTATAAAATTTGAGTAAATTTATGTATTAGACTGTATTAGCAATAAGTATTATTGGATTCATTATCCAGGATGTTTTCATAATATATTTATTGATGTCATAAATGTTAAAAAGATTTCTCTATAAATTTAGGCATTTAAGATAGTTTGGTTTGGGACATTTTTTTTTGGAACAGAGGAGTACTAATTTATGCAATAATTATCGCTCTGTTTAGGGCTCCCTCTTGAATTTAGGGCCTATTTGGATCCCTCTAGTTTTTGTCACGTTTTAAGAATCTAGCTTTTGGAAATTGAGTGGGATCTAAATAAACCAGTTTTTGCTGCCAGTAGCTTTTGCCAGTTTCTTGCAATCCATAGAGCAATAAATAAAGTCAGATTCTTAAAATTGGGGGATCCAAACATATCCACCAGTTTTTACTTAAAATGTAGATTTTAGAAACTAGAGAACACAACTGGTTTTTAAAAGTCCGAAACTCATCCAAACAAGGCTATGGGATGGCTCCGGCTGCATGTGGTTGAATGCATGGGCTCAGACAAGGGATTGGTGGCGGTAGGCTCGAAGAGAAGGGAGCCTGCTTCCTCGCGTTGGGCTCGAGAAAGGGTCCCATACAAGGATTCTGGATAACAAATCTTAAGAAATACACGTATAGCAAAAGAACAGACCCGGATGTTTAGATATTCCAAACATCCGATATCCTTATCCATTTTAGTGTAGATATAGGTATCCGTATTCGTTTTTGAAGACTATTCTCTATATGATTCCACATCTGTACCCGACAAAAATATGAAATATCCTTATCCGTGAAGTACAATATTTTAAAACCATCTAAATCTTACAATTATGACTAAATAACTATGTAAATGACAATTAATTTAATATAATATATGATATGTATTATTATTTAAAATTTATTTAAGGCTAATATAATTATAATATTATTAACAATATATAAATCCTAAGTTAAATTGATTTTAATATGGCTAATCATATAATTAGTATTTTAACTTATTTATATCATTTTAAAATTTATTTTTATTTATTTTGATTCAATAATTAATATATATAATCTTTTATTTTCTTATATTTTATATACTTATTTATTAAAATATTTTATTTTTGGTAGTTGTCTTTATCTACGGTGTTACATAGCTATATTTTAATCCCTTCATCAATAATGATTTTATTATACTATGAAAGTATCAATAAGCAAATAGATACATGTGGTCTTCAAAATAAAGTAGACGAATCCGAATTCACGATATCTGTTTTGTATTAGTATCCAACAATATCCGCATTCGTATTCGAACTCGAATTAAAATGTGGTAAATAGTGGTAATCAAATCTGTATCCATCCAGATCCGATCCGAATCCATCCTTACTAAAGAGTCCATGCATTGACTCACACAAAGGTGCCCGGAAAGGATACAACACGGTCTAAAAATCAGGTAACAAAGTGAATCACAGTGGCTTATATAGCTCAAATTTAATGATCTTTTTATATACAACTATAATGTGATTAAGATACAATTCATAATTAGAGACAGTAATGAGATTCCCAAACTTTAGTCTTGTGCTTAAACAATAATGAGAGTATGAGACCAAAAATATTCATGACTAATACAAAATTACAAAGTAAACACCATTTATCTCAACATGAGAGGTGTTTATGAAATAATTTAATTTATGCTAACAAAAGCACGTACTCCCTCTGTTGTTTTTTACATGTCATATTAGATTTATTCTAAGTCAAACATTACTATCTTTGATCACTTATTTAAAAAATACCTCTCATGTTAGACTCTATAGTTTTATAACCTCAAAGGATGACATTGCCACCGTTGGAGCCTCGGAGGACCTCTCGCCGCTGCTGATGCGACTACCCCGCATGGTCTTGGCACCGCCAGAGATCCACGGCGGGAGCGGGCGCGCACATGGTGGAGTTCTCGAAGGCGCGATGACAGGAGCGACGTGCGGTCGGAGGCTAGCACGCTGGCAAGCTCGCCAATGCTCGGAGGAGGTGGATGTTGACGGTAGTTAACAACCAATTTATATGATCATATAAACATAAAAAGGGCATAAATATGAATATCAACGAGAGTCTAGGGTCTAAACTAATAAATTCCACGAGTTTTGGTGAATCTGTGTTTCCAGCAGGGTATATCCAGAAAACCACCAAGGTGGGCTTATTTGTCAAAAGAAAAATCAGAATTTCAACGCAACTCAAAATCTTAAAGATTCTAGAGGACTCCAAAAGGCAACCCCTGCGAGGCAGGCCCCTAGAGGCTGCCAGGTGGGACCGGCCGGTCCCACCAAGGTGCCGCCCGATCTTGCCCGGTGGGCCCCGCCTGTTAGCTTCCAGAAGATTTCTCCTACCGCCTCCTAGGATGCATTTAAGCCGTCCCTTAAGTTGGTTTGATCCAATGGCTCACGTTGCTCCCCCAGGGCTATATAACCACGGCCCTGCCTCCCCCCTAAGAGAAGAAGAAACCCTAGATCAGTTGTCATCAAGTCATCTATAGACAGAAACCCTAATCTCCTCAAAGCTCCATAGCATAGCTAGTTAGGTTAGATCTAGAGGAAGGCAAGCAGCTCTTCGCTTGGATTCCTGATATCGTCTAGAGCGTGGTTCGATATAGTTCATGTATCCCTCTCTCTATTGTATCTCAATTATCCTTATACTTGGTACAATTCCTATGACATTATTAGTACTGTTCTTGTTTATGTTCTTCATTATGATATTTATTGTCTACTTTGGTTTTATATTTAGTATAGTTAGTTTATTATTGTATTTATACATAAGTTCGTATAACGCTCACTCTAAGGTACCATGGGTGGGTGGTTAGCATTGTGTAAGCGTGGTACTTATACATTGTTTACCTGTGAATACCCCAATATTTCGGCCCATGTGGTAGATCACGGATGTGACACTCCCGTTGAGTCCTTTGTAGTCCACTCCTCAAATATAGGGCTTGTAGGGCCCAATTGCGAAGATAGTGCGAGCTCTATTCTCAATCTATCTCCTGTAATTCCCTTATGTGTAGATATAATGATAATCTTAACCATGATTGCTAGATATGATTGCACTAATTAATGTATGCCTTGACATTGTAATTAGAAATGACTAAGGAATTATTCCTCTAATATTCTACTTGACAATGCTAGTGTTATAGGAGAGCTCTAGGTGATTTATCTCTATTTATATTTATCCTATTTATCCTTTATTATATGACTTGCTCATGTTATAAGTAGAGGTATTGCAATGGTTATTTATCTCCTTCAATAGTATAAGTTACACAATATATGTCCATGCTAGATCTTCCCAGTGGTAAAAATATAAATCGACAACCCTAGAATACTCTTAGGTAAAATGCTATAATGGTATAATTATCTGTGCGCTTGTAGATCCTTTATATTCATATTTATATATTCTTTGTCTAGTCACTTGCATTAGTAATAACCGCTTAGTATTATTCTAGTAGTAATGCTATGTAGTATCCAACATATCTCTTATAATCACACTAGGGATGACAACCTAGTCACAGTTAGGAGGTATATGTTTGTAATAGGTGGCTGAGTACTTCAACCAAGTGACAAGTTAATTACTACCATTAACATCTTTGGGGTTGCTAGGATTGGGAATCATAACTTTATATTAATAGTAACCTTAGAGATGCCAACAAATATTTTTGGCGCCGTTGCCAGGGAAGGTAACTAGCAAAGGAAGTGTTGAGTAACTTATAGCTATTGTTGTGATCGAGGATAACCATTGACCTCTGCTTAAATAGGCTTACCCTT